TTGGAAGCGAAGCACAGTTGGGCCTGGTTAGTGCTTGGATGGGAGAGCTAGGGTAGACAAGTAAAAAATGAACTTGGAAAATTCTGTTGTATTGAGTCCAAGACAAAGCTTTTTAAAATGTCGGGAATGCCCCCACTGACTAAACAAACTAGAGACAATCCTCACGAAACCCTCGAATAGAAAACTGGTAGTAAAATGAAATTATGATTAGACTATGATGCACATAAGCAACTTCCTGCAACAGCATTGTAAAGCAGAAAAAAGCAGCTCTCCAGAGCAGCGAGGGAGACGTGAATACTCAAAAGAGCGCAGAACAGCAACTGTGAAGGCCCTCAAGTACGACTGGGATCCAAACATGAGCAAATAGGAGTCCAAACTCAGCAAAGTGTGGAGGGTTTGGAAAGTCAGAGGTCAATCAAATAAATGAACCACAGATAATCTGTGGTACATGATTTTCACCTGATCTCAGAGTCATTGAGGCAAACCTGTAAGACTGAAGCTGGGTCGGAGGACTAGATGTCAGTTACACGTCAAAGCAGATTCCTGAGTTCGACAGTTGCATTATGGTCAGACAGAATTCTGGAAAATGCAAAAGAATTCCAAGATAACATCACAGGAGCAACTTACCCTCAAAGGGGGAAGTTTTGGATTTGTACAGTCCTTAAAATCCTGAAGTCCCTAAAATTCTCCAATTTATTTCAAGTTTCCCCATTAAAAAGTGAATGCAGACAATGAACATCCCCCCCCCCCCTCCTTAAAAAAAAGGTGACAAAGAATTCAATGCAACATATAAAACTCTAAAAACAGAATTTTAGTTTTGGTGAATCTGGTTCAAGTCCTCCATCTCTGTGTACAAACATGTTTTGGGTTTTGTGTTAATATTCTTAGACTTTTCCTCATTGATGACTTACTGAATTACACACACACACACACACACACACACACACACACACACATACCCCTGCAGTGTATGACAGTAGTGTTCACAGATGTTGTTCAGTAAAGTTTATGAATTCTATTTTATAAACAAAAAGTTATTATAAAAATAACATCACCCCCTTGTGGTAAAAACTGAAAAATACAATCTGCTGGAGAATCCTAATAGGCACTTAGGAAGATACTTATAACGTATTTTCACACAATTTCATGTGTGTCCCCTACCGTATTTACAAACAATATATACAGAGGTAGTCCCAGTCTTCTTTAGGTTGGTACTGTGTCTGGATTTCTAACTGGGGACTTCTATAGTAAAAGCCGCACATTTGACAGAAGTGCTACAATAAAAGACCAGAGTTCAAAGAAATCGAGATTACCACAGAACAAAGAAAAGACTGTCAGGCCTGATGGGAGGGCATTTGCCTACTTACAATTACAGGGGCATCAGGGTTACCCACTCTGTCAAATTCAACCTACAATTTGGAAGTTCTCCTTAGATCAGTTCTATTGAACAGGTTCTACTCATCTTCGCCTAGCTTACTAATATAAAGATATTATGGAAGGGTCTTTTCTTCACTTAAGATTGCCAATAGTGATAAAAGTTATGAGTATAAATGAACTTTCAGCTTTCTCATTTTAGATTCCTACTTCCAATCTCAATCCTCTGTGGTTTCTTCTATTAAGTAGCAGGCATTGATAAATCTGTTTTACTGATCTAAGTTAAGTAAGTTAAGTGCTTTCTAGAATGTAAACATAATTCTGGTCTCAGAGTTTTTAATTAAAAGTGGCTCAGTTGGATACTGCCTCTTAAACACAGTAATATAAAAATTAGTATCCTGGCTAAAAGAAATTATTGACAGCTTTAACACATGTTGCATAATACATATTAACAGAAAATACATGTCAGCAAAATAATGTTGACTATATTCTAATCCATTCCATCTGCTCAAATATTAGTGCAAATAATTATACATTTGAAATACCTCACTGCTGCCCAGCACAAACCTATGCCTTCCTAATAATGCCTCTCTTCTGAGGTTGTTTGTTATTTGGAGTACAATATGATATATTCCTATTTAAATTGGCTTTGCACATTAAGGCAGATGGCAACCTTTTAAATCACTGAGAAAATGAGCAACTGTGTTTAATTGCGTGTCTTTTTTGCTTCGAATGGATATTTAGTCAAAAATGCAAACATTTATTGATACCTACACCAAGTAATATCAACAAATAGCAGCGATAAAATATGCAGTGCCTAGTTTTAAACTATGTACTTAGTTAAGTCCAGGGTTACCAGCTCCATTCACCAATTCTAATAATTACAAATTATTAATAAAGTACTTTTTTGTCCAATTTCATTCTGGAACTAGCCATTTCAAGACTATTGATGCATTAAACAGCTAACAGAATCAGCAAGCCAGCCATTCAAAATAATCTATTTTTGAATGTAAAAATACTGATTTTTTTGTATCTCCTATTGGGGAGTTATTATTTTTCCCATGCTATAAAAAACTATATGAGCAGATGCATGTTGTATATACACATATTCCTAATATGTAATTATAACTTAATCAGTCTATGTAATGGTATTTGTATGTATGTTTTCTGGGCCGACAAAAATTTGAAAGAGAGCAAGGAGGGGTAAATGGGAAGGTTAGGAGGGAAGAGGGAAATTATGCAATTATAATCTCAAAAAGTAGAAAATTCAAAAACTTTATGAAATACCTAGACTCTACTGTTAAAATTATTAAGCAGAAACAATATGACTGTATAATATTTTCACTAAAGGAAATCTCTGTAGTAGACAGGTTATTAAATACAAACTTAAAGTTCAATTAAAATTTCATGACTACTTACATAACTTTAAACACCAATTGAGAAAGTATAACTACACACTGAACATATTTTTAAAAATTCAACAGTAGCTTGATACAGATACTACATTCTAACTCCATTATCTAATCTTCACAGTGAGAATCAAACACTGGATGAGAAGAAAATTAAGTAAAACTATTGAGGCTATTAAAATAAGGAATATACATAATGTTACACAAATAAGAAAAAATACAAGATAAATTATAAAAAGACATTATTCATTCTCATTATATGAGGTTTAAGTCTGAGCCCATGTCAGCTTATAGACTTTGAAGGTCTCCTTACCTGTTCTGTGCCTTAAGTTTTTCATCTGTCATACAGAAATAATAGTACCCAAATGACAGTTACTCTGGAATCAATAATATATGCAAAGGACTTAGCATAGTACATGCAATTTAAGCCCAATAAATGAATATAATTATCTTTACTGTGCATTAAAATTTTAAATTGCTATTTTTACTTCATGCAAAATTATTTGGCATAATGATATGTACTAGTCTTCTTTCCTAAAATATGCAGTAAATTGTAGGATAAGTCTTCTAGAGTAGAGTAATAAAGTAATTGAACGTAATTCAGTGAACTGGATAAATCAGAGTGCTTTGTATACCAAAGTCTCTGTTAGTAATCAATAAATGGAGGGGGTGGGGAGGCTTCTGAAAAATATCTCACACCCATGAAAAGTCAGTGGACAGTGTGTGGCAATGACAGGATATTTTTGTAAGAACACCATGTTAATCAGGAGACAAAAGCTTTTCTGGTCACAACAGGCATACATCTGAGTACCCCTTACTCACCCACCAACAATTAAAGCATGTCTTAGCCTTATAAACATGACCACTCTGATGTTCAGGAGTCAATACCCCTTCATCTGGATGTGAACCAATGTAGACAGAAACATCTCAAGGAAGCAGTAAATTCTCTACTTTGAATCAATCTATTGGTTGATAATTATTTCACTGTGTATAAGAAAGGTAGTATTCAGAAAGTGAAATATTTAGAAGTAAAAGAAAAATGGAAAGAACAAAGAAAATATAACACAAATTATCTGCTTTAAGTTTTAATTTAACCCACTTTAACCTATGTTAGCAGCACTTTTTAAAACAAGGAAGACACCGGGGCTCACAGGAATGGCACGCCTAAATGTCAGTAATTGTCTTGGAATGGCTACATGTTCATATTCTAAAAATCTGTCCACCTAACTATTACCTAATAATTCCTGATCAGGGCTCATCATGTACTCTATCACTTCTAATTAATTCGGGGGCCATTCTAAACCCAGGCATAAGGACTCGTGTGCTCTCATTTTCAGTAATTCATAGGCTAGTCTTTCTTCGTCTATGCTCTGCATCTCATATAAGACACCCAAGTTCAGACAAACAATTTTCAGCATTTTGGAGCAAACTTCAAACTAAATATTTATACCTAAATATTACATGAGTTCACACAGAACTGTGGAAAGATTCTTATTTAAATTTTAGTGAGTTATTAAGTTCCACTATGTCTAACCAAAAATTTCCCAGGTATGTACAGAAGCATTTTATCTATTGACAGTCTCTTCTGAGTTATACATTTTGAACTAAATTTTATGATGCCCATACATGTAAATACTTTAAAAGTGAGATGCAAAGAATGTATACTGGTATATAAAACAACTTTTTATTTCTTTAGAGAAACACCCTATTCTAGCTTGATTACTAAAGCTTGATTATACAGTCATGTTCTTTTCTACTAAAAAAGGGAGATACCTAAGTTATGAAAAATAAGGAATACTGTCAGAAAAAAAATCAAATGTATAATTCATTATAGATGTCCTTAAAATGTAAAAATATGGTAAGATAAAAAAACAACTGCAGGGAATTTGTTTATTGAGCATGAAATTAACACCTTTTTTTTTTAACATTTATTTGTTTATTGTGTATACAGTATTCTTCCTGAGGGCCTCATTACAGATGGTTGTGAGCCACCATGTGGTTGCTGGGAATTGAACTCAGGACCTTTGGAAGAGCAGGCAGTGCTCTTAACCGCTGAGCCATCTCTCCAGCCCTTTTTTTTTTTTTTTTGAAATTAACACTTTTAAATAAGGTATTCACTTTGAATTTTCTTTGTCCTGTTAGTGGACATAATGGAAAATATTGCACAGAACTCAAGCATGGAAATAATAATTAACAAAATATCTAAGCAACAAGTAACTGCTTTACATTTTTAAAAATTAATCCAAACAAAATAATTTGAAGTGCTTCTCTGATTTGGAAGTCTTAAAATGTTTTCTCATGTTTTATTTGATTTTTTTCTTCTGCTTTTTTTTTTTTTTTTTTACAAATTGACACTGTACAAAGAGTTCAAATGGCCAGTAAACGCCTGCCTTAAACTGTTGGCTTTAATAACAGAGGTATGATCTGAATTCACAGCAGTGTTCTCTAAAGTGGCAACAGTACAAGCACAGCTTTCTAGGATCTAGAACCTGTTCTGGCTTTCCTTTTCTGAGGATCGCTATCTGGAAAACCTCCAAACCTGCCACAATGTCCTATAAAAGTGACAAAAGTTGGCGTGCTCATTGTCCTTGCTTACCTTTGTAACACTGGGCTAAATAGAAAATGAAAATCCAGTCAACAGTAACTTGTACAGTAGCTAGTTCTGGACTAGACAGCTGGAAATGCTGACAACTATGCAGAGTGAGGTTCTCAGTAGAAAGAGACAGCTTCCCCCAATTAGGCCAAACCCTATATTAAGAGAAAACATTGCTATGAATGAACTGAACATTACAGCTTCCCTGGGTCCTAGAGACCATGAAGAATGCACTATGTATAACTTAGAACATACTCTCACAGAATAAGTTAATAGGGTTTATAGAACAATGGCCTTTCTACATTTTTATATGATGTTTAAATTTTTGTTGAGTTATTTATTAGTTTGTCATATTAACCCAATTCAATTAATAACATCCAAAATAGGAAAAACTTCAGAAATGCCTTGAAAATGGACAATGAAAGAATCTTCAGATCTGAAAGGCCGGCTTTTGCTGTAAGCTTGCCTCCAGACTTGGAATATACACTATTTATTTATTGCCTGAAACTCTCAATAGAATAGAAGATGACTGCATGTTTAGCTATCCCATCTCATTCAAGGCTGGTCTTAAGGGACTGACGGCACTGGCTAAACATGTTGCTATCTCTCATAAACACGGTTTACACCATAAGTCACTTTTTACTCAGAGTACTAAAATAACAAACATGGTCCTTTAAAGTATTCCACCTTAAGTTAAATATAAAATAAGGTTTCATTAACGTCTTGCTAATTAATTGACTTAAAATCTATTTATCAAATAAGAAAGAGTAAACTTTAAGTTTTACCCAGAAAGTAGACCTACTCTGATCTGTTCCTAACATCTACTTGAGACAGTTCCGGGCTAGCGCTGCTGTACCTCAGAGAACAGCCCCAACCACCTATAGAAATGACTCTCCACTCTGGTCCTTTTGAGTCGTAACAAGTTCTTCAATCACCAGTGCTGAAAAGTTAACTGAAAAACTAATAAATAAGAAATGAAGTTTTACTGCACTTCACCTATTTTAATGCAAACAGGATGCTAAGATTTCCAGATAGAATAAGTTCAAGATCAAGGACCAGCACACTGGTGAAATTTCATTCAGCTTCTGACACCAACGCTTTTCAGGATTATAACAGTCACATACAGGTTTATAGAATTTGAAATTTATAAATTAAAGCATGGAATTCAATGTAATAGGGAAAAGATAAAAAGCAAATATAGCTAGTGGTGTCCAGATTTCAAATAAAATTCCTGGGTAAGTATGGCTGCTGATTTCTTCCAGTCATTTTTTTTTTTCTGTAAAATATTGGCTGTGTCATAAGGAATCTCCTGTGCTTTCTACCATCCGAGGCCTTCCGAAATAGAACACATTTCCTTTGTAACTTCACTCAGCTGAAGTGTCGAGCTAGGCGGGCAGCTCTATAGTCAGCACGGAGTTGGACGAAGGAGTGAAGTATGCTCTTGTCCAGACTGGCGAGCTGTTCTCCTGAGCAGACTTGCTTTAAGTTATCTGGAGCGACGACCAGGAGATTGCAAAGTGCGTGCAGAGTGTCAAAGAGATGTAATACCATGGGAATCTGAATTGAGAAGGGAAAAGAAAAGCATTGAACCAGAACAACTTAGTTCCTAGGAAGTTCTGCAAATTCTTCTAACATACTGCTAATCAGAACTTGGTAGTATGAAGACATTCCTATGTTAGAATGTTTCAAGCTTCAAGCTTCTGAAGAGCTAAACCTTAAAGGTTCTGTAGTTAAAACTCCTAATAATCCTTGAAAAGATTTATTCAATTTTCTTGATAATTTGTATTTTGGCATACTAGAACGATCATTAGTATAACATCTTTAAAAGTAACTTAAACATAAGGGGAAAGAAACTGATTTCACATGAAGAATATTTTCCTAATATGTGACATCAATGGATGTTAAAAGGCACCTGAATGGAATGCGCTGAAATATGACCTCATCTAAAAAAAAAACCCATAGGGGGAAAATGCTACTACTGAAATATAGCTGGAATAACATGCCTTCAGGTAGGCTATATAGTAGAGCTTTCCTTATGGTGCCAATGAAATCACACTTCTTCGGTATAAGTTTTTAATAGTATGGCCTGTTTTCCTGAACTTATTTGCAAGCTCGATTTGTTTATACGTACCTTGAAGTCTTTGGCACATTTTCTATATTCAGCTACGTCGCAAATTGCTAACATGCCACCCATACAGCTATAGGAATATTGTTGAAGATGCTCATAAATAAGCCGATGGAAACGGACTCCAAGTTCCATCAGAACTGTGTCCACATTCTTCCCATCCATGGAATTTTTAATCTTCTCAACTTGTTTTCTCACATAAACACAGACTTTTACACATGCCTGTAAAAGTTTTTCTACACTTATTATACAGATATGTGTGTCAGCCTAGCAAAGAAAAAACTTAAAGCACAATTAGGCATACTAATGAGGGTTCAAGCATTAACAAAGGAGATAATATATTAGCAAACGGAATAGTCCACTCACGTTAGTATACTGAATCAAAACATTGTTCTCATCTTCTGGCTTAAAATCTGTTTTCTTTTGTTCTGCAGCCAAGATATGCTTCATCTGTCCAATCATACAATTTAATGTCCTAAAGACAGAGGACACAGTATATATGACCCATTTAACTCACTCAAGTTTACCTTTGTATTTACACTAAATTAAGTTAAACTATTTAATTTCCAGTTATTACAAAACTACTTGGTATTGGCAAACCAAATTTTAGAAACAAAAACCATTCTATAACTGCTAACAAAGTCTTTCTCTCTTGAAAAGATCTTAACCTACTACTAGTTACTTACTTCATAACTAAGGATCTTCAAAGGCAAAGCCATGCATAGAGAACACTTAGGAAAGTGGACGATAAAAGGCTTAAAAAGAAAGGTTGTAGGCACAGAGTCCCATAGTCAAAGGATTATTAGGAAGATGGACAAGTGGTACTGAATTCCCAGCTGAGATAAAGGCACTGATTAGAAGGTATCAATAATATCTAACCTATGTGATATTCTCCAACAGTAAGGTTATGAAAATGAAAAAGACTACACTAACTCAGAGTTTAGTGGCTGCAAGACAGAGTGGTCAAAAATAAAAGTTTTATATTAAATTCAAGGGACAGACCACATAATTAAGTATAACAATAATGAGGTCAAGTTACAAAAGGACAGTAGGCCAAGATAAGATAGTGAGATTAAAGGAGACCAATCATGGTCCTTGTACTGTGCCTGATATATAGCAAATACTTGATACCCGGGAGCTATACTAATTTTCAATCAATATAAGACCACCATCATCTGAAAACAGACAGCTGGAAAGTAATAGTATTTATAGTCTTCAGTAAAGATAATCAGGTTTTGAAATTCACTCAACAGAATTTACAAGTACAAAACCAGTAAAATTATTAAAATATTTCAGAGATAAGTCAGAATATACTAAATGGAAATACAATAATAAATATTGCAAACCTTTGTTGTTTTAGCAGTACTAAGAATTAAACCAAAGGTTTCCCACAGGCTAAAATATAAAATACTCTAGCCCTGGACAACCTCTCAGCCCTGCATCTCATTTTTTCAAAGAAATTTGTAGTTTGTACATGTGTGGTGCAGAAAAGTAGGGCTTAAAAGGGACTTCTGTTTTGATTTGAAAATATACCTAAACATACTGACTTTAAAAAAAACACCTTGGGGATTAATAAAAATAATATTCTCCTAAAAATAAGAACAATATGTTAAAGTATCAACTTTACAGCCAGAAAAGTAAAAATAAACACATTTCCTGTTTTAAAAATTATGTTCATGCTACAATGCAAATGCATATCTACAATTTTTAAATTGCAGGAGAAGAAAGAGAGAAACAGTTAACTTGCCTATCGATGCCAGTATCCAATTTCATCTCCATGTGCTCAATTATCTCTTTTTTCTTCTGAAGGCATTCAGATAACTTGGGAGAAGAGCTATTGTTTATTAAAGAGAAAACAAACTCCCATTAATAGCCTACTTTCTAAGTTTCTAATCTGTGCATCATGAATACACATTTGCAAATGCATTTGCTCACATACCCAATAATTACAAAATAAATCATCACATACATTATGTACATTAGTATACCCAATTCATTCACACTAGAAAAATTAATCCATTAAGGGTAAAGATAGAGTTGTTATCCTTACTTATCTCTGAGGAGATAGGACTTAACATGCAGCTTTGAAATTTTGAAACTAGTTTTCTCTGTATCTAAATATCTGGTATAATAGTAAGAAAAGTCATGGATATCACCAAACTCTTAAGAATATAATTAATCCTAATAAAAATGTGGACAGTAGTTAAGAAAATCCAGTTACATTTCACTTTTTTAAGTAAAAAGACATGAAACCATGATCATGGTCGGCTTCTCAATAGTATTAAAATATTAAGGAATAAAGAACACTAAAACCCCTGTGAATTCTCTGCTATGTGACATAAGAACCCTTTACAAAGTAAATCACTAAGAAAACTCCCTAAGCTGGGCTTGGTGGCTCATGCCTGTAATACCGCCTGGGCTACACAGAAAAACAGTAACTTTCCTTTAGATTACAATTCAGGAATCAAGGGATCTGTGAGCTTGTTTCGGGTCACGACATGTCATAGCACTGCCCATAAAACAACTACTAAACTCTATCATTTATCTGAACATTTCCTGCACATATAATAGTGTTAATGACACAACTTTATGTATACAATAAAGCTCCATTTAATTTTCAAATGCTTTAGAAATCCATATAAATTGATATGAAGATATAAACCAAATCTTAATGCTTTATCAAAATTTGTTCATTCATGTTTCTTATGTCTTTATAACAAGTGTATAGTGTCTATTGGTGTTTGTGTGTGTTACTTGGGAGTAAGCCCAGAACTTTGTAGACACTAAAGCAAGCTCTATCACTGAGCTACATATCCTTAATTTAAAAAAAAAGAACTTTCAGAATTTTTGAGATTATAACATAATTCCATAATTTCTCTATTCCCTGAAAGCCCATCCTACTCTCAGTTCCTAAAAAAAGGGGGGGATAAAAAGAAAACAATAAAAAACAAACACCTTTTGAGACTGGGTCTTGGTTGTCCAAGCTGACTTTAAAGTCACTATGTTGACCAGACTGCCTCAACCTCCTGTGTAGATAAGATTACAGCTATGTACCACCATGCCTGGTACCTGTCCTGTCTTCTGAAGAATGTAAACTGGTTGAGCTGCACTAGGCTGGAAGGCCTTTTTCATGTTAGATTTCCAATTTTAGTTTATGATAATTAAAACTTTTTAAATATACCAAAAATTAACAGCATAGTGGGAAGAAAAAACAAGAATTCAAGGAAGGAAGAATTTTATTTCAAACCTCCTGTCCTGTTTGATGTTTTCATGAACATGTATTATTTAAAAAATAATAAAAATACTCATTAAAATACCAATGAAAATATGACAATGTAACTAACCTTATTAGTGGCATAAGGTGATCATTAAATTGTTTGTCAAAAAGATGAAAAATAGTATTGGCCTGTTGTACAACATCCAAAAAATAGAGATTTGCATTCCTAGAATCTGATGATGGAATTCCTAAAATTGGAAGGCACAGGTGAGTGAGAACCAACCTTGAAAAAAACTGGGCAAAATAAAAAGAATGATTTTATATATACCACATGAATAAAAGTAATTGTCATTTAATAAACCAGAAATGATTCTACAGAGATTTTGATAAACAGCTTAACAAAATTCATCCAAAGCTATTTTTATACCCCAAAGTTAATCATCCTCATGGTTTATTTGATAAAATGGAAAGTCAATCAACAAAGCACCTAGGCTCCCTTCCTGACAGCTGAAATGGTCTTCCTGTTCAGTTTTCACCTCTACGCAGACTCCTTCCTGCCGGTTACACACTACACTCATCATGTTCTCCACTCTCCTCAAAAACATTCAAAATTTCCTCCCCTCAGGGACGCGTTTCCTCAGCGTCTGAGATTCTGTGTGGTCATCAACAACATCTGACACCAAAGATGGAACTGAACCCTCTGGATCTTTCCTCCTTTCCCAGAGAACAACTCACGGGCTCAAGATTCCTTGCTCTTTTTAGCTCTAGATACCTGTGCTTCTGTCCAAACTTAAGACTAGACTAAGAAAAACACCCCCAGTTAATGATAATACACAACTTTACTAACTCGAGTTCTTTATATGATGATTTTTCAGGTTTACAATTAGAAAACTAAGGTGTTGTTTTGTAGAAAAGAAACAATCACTTGGTAGGAAAATTAAAGGTGCCAACACAAACATAATAAAAAAACCTGAAGCACGTGTAAAAAATACTAATCCCAACAAAACATGGAAATTAAGACAGTAATAGTGGATGTATTTAACCAATAAAATATAAAAATTTTTGAATATTTAAAACAAATAAAAACCAGTATATACATGTAAGCTAGAACCAGTATAAATTGTACAGAACAAGCCTCTTAGGAAAAAAAGTAAATTAATTAAAAATAAATAACAAATTTGAATTTAAAATAAATTTTAAATTAAAGATTGAGTAATAAAAATTATTTTAAAATATGTACACATAATATACTCTGACTTGGAATTTTACCTAATGAAAAGAATTCAAGTAAAGAGTAAACTCTACAATGTTACTCCAGTGTTATTTCTTATCACTTGGCAAAACTGTATGTGATCAGTAAGAACAATGACCATGAATACTAATTACATGAAGAATAGTCCCAGTCCAAATTAAATTTTCCTCAACATTTCAGAACACTGCTATTAAAATAAATAGGAAGGCTTCCATTCTAGATAAACAATCAATCTTTCACACCAGATTTAAATTCACATTACTTTATCTTATCATTAAAAAAATGGACAATTTAAGTTTGTTTATGTGTGTGTGTGTGTGTGTGTGTGTGTGTGTGTGTGTGTGTGTGATGTGTATATTAGTCGGTTATCTCCTTCCACCATGGGATCCAGGTACTGAACTTGGGTTGTCAGCCTTGGCAGCAAGCAATGTTACTGCTGAGCCATTTTGCTGGCCCTTATTCATATTCAGTATCTTCTGCAACCATCACATCTTTGAAGATTTAAATTATTCCAATACAAATGACCACACTAAGTCATTTACTGCTGGTATGGGTTAAATACTTGATGTCAATAGTCTGCTACAATTAAGTTAAAATACACTTATAGACATTCTTGCTTATGAAGGAAATAAACTGGAATTAGTTATGACTAATTTACGGCTAAATATGGTTCATCATTAAAGGTTTCTAGGATGGTGTTTTACATAGCCAGAGACCTCCTGAACACAATGCTGGGGGCAGGGGTATGAAACAGAGTGGGATTCCAACCCTAAAAGCTTACAAGCTGGTGTCTCTTTTACAACAGTTTACTCACCACTTCACTGAGCTCTCTGGCTTGTGTGTCTTCTCAGAGGCCTTCTCTGACTACCCTGTCATAAAACGCTTTTGGGGGGCTGACAAGATGGCTCAGTGGGTGAAGGTGCTTGCTGCCAAGCCTACCATTTGAGTTCGATCCCTGGGACAAATATGGTGGAAAGAGAGAGCCAACTCCTGCAAGTTGTCCTCTGACTTCTATGTGTCTGAACATACATAAAATAAAAAATAAATAATGTAAAAGAAAAATAATTTCTGCCTGTAAATCCTTTACTCTACCTCCCCATTAACGTTCTCCACACCTTACCCACCTTTGATTTTCTTTACTGAACTTCCTAAACTTTTGTCTATCACTTTCACTGGACTACGATCCCCATGATTAGGCATGTAAAAAGTATGTACTAACTTAATGACTACTGACAGGAGACAGATACTAACCGATGCTATTATAAACGGTGAAATCAACAATGACTAGTGGTACTATGCTGCAGCAGGAGCACTACTTCATCTAAGGTGATCAGCACAGGTGTCTGGAAAGGTGACAGTAGGTGAGGTCAGGTTTTAAAGACACCAAGAGCCAAGGGAAATGCAGCACAGAGAGGAACACGTGGAGGCACACCACAGCTCGTGTTCTTCTGGACACAGGAACCAGTTAGGAGATGACAGTGTTTGAGGTGGGTTGCATCAGTAGATGAAGCAAAGTAGATAAACCAGTTATATTTGGATGTATACTGATAGGGTTTTCTGATAAACTGGCTTTCAGCAATGAAAACAGGAAGGTTAAGGTAGTTTCTGAGTTTGGTAAATAATGATTTCCTTAAAATCCTGGGAGAACAGCATTGGAGGAAGACAGCTTCTGTGTTTGTTTTGCTATTTTAGATTATTCAGAAAACATTATATAGTCTAGGCTGGCCTCCAACTCATAGTGACCTCTGACTTGGCATCCTGCATGCTGGGATTGCAGGCGTGAACCACCATGCCTGGCTGAAGAGCTTCATTTTTGAAATGTTAAATCTGAGACACCCACTTCACAGGTCATGGGGTCAGGTTATGAGGATACTAGAGATACAACCGAAAGAATGAGGCCAAAACATTTAATATAAATTTACTCCTTTCCAGATGTATTTTTTGAATATTTTTCTCTCTAAATTTCATTACTTACTTCCCAAGCAGAATTATTCTTATCTCTATTTATGCTTCTTGACATTTTATAGTATAGAGCACTGTTATACATCCTGCCAATATATTATGCTGAATTTTGTAGTGGATGTAAACAATATGAGGGAATTGCCTATGTTTAACTTCCAGCACCTTGCACATCCTAGTATTACACAAGCTCAAATACACTGTACTGAACTATCACATACAAGCTATACATAAAACAGCATTATGAGTATTGGTCAATCAAACAAGACCAAAGGAGTTTAACAGAAAGTGTAATATAAGTATACTTACCAGCAAGCCCCGTTTCTAAAGCATAATCAATATGCTCAATACATAAAAATTCCACAAGAATGGTAAAAATTCTAAAGGCATTCCTTGGTAAATCAGAAGGATCAGAAAGCTTTAAAAACAAGCAAAAACAGTATTACTCTTCAGGACTACATTTTAAAAAGGCACTTCTTAAAGCAATCTTTTTTGTATACAACAGTACTTCAGGTAACGAAATGTCAGTGCTCTCTTCCCACTGCCCACACAACAATTATAATGCTCGAGATCAGTCTGTAACTCTCCTGACCTAGAGCAGTGCTTTTTAAAATCTAGATTGTAATCTCTGAGTGAAATCCAATTACACTTTCAAGAAACACATGCACTCTCACACTTACACCCTGCTTCCATGTGAGATGCATTTTTAACTAAGGTGATCACAGTCAAAGAAGTTTCAGAGCCACTAACAAAGAGGGCTGTTCCAGTAAAACTCAAAACAAAACAAGACAAACAAAAAGATTCTTATGGAATCAAGACATGAAATCAATTAATATACATAGTAAAATATAACAAGATCAAATTTTAACGCATCGTGTCCTGGTAGAGCAAGTCTTTAGAATGTTACTGAGCTTCACTAAGTCTCATTTTTTTTCATTTATAAGATGAAATAACACTGATGGTATTTTATTTTAGCGTTTAATTGGAATAAACTAGGGAACTGCAAAGTGGTTACAACACAGAACTTGATTTAAACAAAGCTCACAATTCTCACTTTGATGTTGCTGCTGCTGGATTATTTACTAGTAGTTGAGAAAAATGAATTCTTCTTAAAAGGAAACTATTCTCAATTTCTTTTCAATGTTTTCTGTATTAATTATAAATCACTTTCTGCCTCTGTCAAAGCTACTTATAGTAACCATTCCATGGCTTTCAGGGTAATACTACAAGTGAGAATTCCTTATCAAAAGAGTTAGACTAGAACTGTTAGGGATTTTAGACTTCCTGAATTTTGAAATATTTGCAAATATATAATGATATATCTTGGAAGACTCCAGTCTAATCGTAAAATTCATTTATGTTATATAAATACCTTATACAAACAGCCTAAGGACAACTTAATTAAACAGTATTTTTTACTAAAACCTAACCTTAATGCCACAATGTGCCGCCATATTAGTGATCAAGAATTTTTTATTTTGGAGCATGAAAGATTCTGTGTTTTTAAATAAAGTACACTCAACCCTACTGTAATAATATAAACCTGATGTATAATTGAGTTTATGAAAATTTCCATATACTACTTTAAAACCCCAGTGATTATACATCCCTATTTGGTACTAGACTTCTTAACCACTATTAAGAACCTTTACCTCTTACCAATCTCTCTACTGCTTTTCTTTTGTTTCTGATGCTCAACAGGTGTCCGTACCTTCATCACAAATCATAAAAACCAAGCCTAAGTTCCCACCTTTCTCCTGTTTATATCCTCAAATATGTGTAAGAGGTAAACAGAAAGCTGATAGAAAATATAGAGGACATCAACTAATAGGACCTGACATTTATAGAATACTCAGCCAACAATGTGAAGATACGCATTATCTCACGCATACAGAAAACCACCAATATGGGCTGCACTCTGTATCTCAATAAATTTAAAAAGAACTGACATCATGATGCAAAGTTTGCCCATTGACTATAATGGTATAAAACCTAAAATCATTAACAGAAAGGCATCCAATATATCTCCGAATATTTAGCAACGAAATAATACAACTTCTCAGTTATCTAGGGCCAGGGGAAAAAAAAAAAAATCAAAGGGAAATTAAGGAGAATTTCAAAATGTATTAAAACATACTTAAAAAACCTAGTTTCAGCTAACTTAGAACTTGAGAGTAATGTCACTAAATACACACATTAGAAAAGGTCAACAAACTCAGCTTTTACCTAAAAAACAAAGCCAAGGCAAAAACAAACAAACAAACAAACAAAAAAATAAAAAAACCTAGGAAAGGGGCAAATGATACCTAAGTAAGTTGAAGTAAGCAAACAATAAAAAATAGAAATGAGGTTGGTGGTGGAGCACCTTTAATCCCAGCACTTGGGAGGCAGAGTTCAGCAGATCTCTTGAGTTTAAGCCTCGCCTGGTCTACAAAGAGAATTCTAGGACACCCAGGACTGCATAGAAAGCCTATCTTGAACAAGATAAACAAAACAAAAAAGAACAGAATCAGAGAAATCTAAGGAAAAAGAAAAGAAAAATATTAATAAAACCAAGAAGTGGTTCTTGGAAAAAATTAGTAAAAATAATAAGATTGGTTTGTAAAAAAATTTGATTGGTAAACAAATTACTGTTTGGGAATAAAATGGTAATTATTACAATAGTTTCTACAGTGATGACAATAAGAAAAATGTCATGAATAACTTTATTCCAATAAATACAATTTTGGTGAACTATGAAAGTCTTTAAAAGATACAAATTAGGCCGATGTATTGGTGTAACACACCTTTAATCTCCGCAATGGAGGGAGAAGCAGGTGGATGAATTTCTGCAAACTGAAGTTTAGCCTGGTCTGCATAGTGAGACTGTCTCTAAAACAAACAAACTGCCAAGCTCACTTAAAATTAGATTACCTGAAATTTCTGTATACATTAAGTGGCTGAATTATTAGCTAAAAATCCTTACAAAGAAAACCATAGCCCCCAGTAACTTCCCTTGTGAGTTATGACAAACCTTTTAAGACAGAAAGACCACCATCTACACCCATAAACAATTGAAAGGGAAGGCAGAAGTACTTTGCATATCATCCTATGGGCACAGGATTACCTTCATTATTAAAACAAGACAAAGACATCAAAGGCCAATATCCTTCATAAACACTGATGCAAAAATTCTAAACAAAATTTAACACACATGGGCCAGCAAGGTGGCTCAGAGAGTAGTTTGCTGCCAAGCCTAAAAATGTGAATTCAATTACTGGGACCTACTTTGTAGACAGAGAGAACTGACTTCCTTAAGTTTTCCTCTAACTCCAAAATGTGTGCCCTAATACAATAAAGGCAGCTTTTTAAAAAGTGTTTTTGTTTTTTTAAATTTAGTAACCTAGCCAACAATGTGTGAACAGGACAATAAGGAAATTACAGGTGATGGCCAGCTGAGGGGTACTAAAGAGATGCAAGGATCACATCTGAAATATCAGTTGCCATGATTCTCCTAAAGAATAAAAAGAAAACAAGTAAGAAAATCTAACACCAAATCTTTTATTTTGTTTGTTTATCTGTGTGATACAGTCTCCTCTGGCGAAGACTGGCTTCAATCAAACTCATCATATGGCCCAGGATGACCCCGAACTCAAGATCTCCCAAGTGCTAGGGTCTAATAATACCCAAGCTTCATACGACACTTTAATAAACTAGCATACATTCCTCACTGGAGAGATGGCTTAGAGGTTAAGAGCACTGGCTGCTCTTCCAGAGGACTAGGGTTTAATTCCCAGCACCCAGATGGTAACTTAGAACTGTCTACCAATCAATGTTCATTAAAAAAAAAAAAAAAAAAAAAAAAAAAAAACTTTCCTCAGGTTAAAAAACAGTATCTATAAAAAAGCAAAACGAAAACCAAACCTACAGTCAACATCACATTTAGTGATCAAAGACTAAATGCTATACTCCAATGGTCAAGTGTAATAGCCAGTGTTTGTTCCCTGCATGTCCTTCCATTCCATACTGGAAGTCTAGCCAGAGCAACAAGGCACAAGAACAAAATAAAAGATAGCTATATGGAAAGGAGTCAGTATGGCTGTCTTTATGGTAAAATAACATGACAGTCTATGTAGAAGGTCTAACAAATTCTATAAAAAAGATTGTTTGGAGAGTAAACTTAACATGTAAAGATCCAACTACACACTCCTCCATACCAAGTTAAACTTGAAATTAAATATAACTTTAAAAATTACTTTTTTGTTGTTTTGAGACAGGGTCTCACTTTGTAGGCCAAGCTAGCCTAGAACTCACAATGTAGCCTGATTGGTCTTGAGCCCATAGAATGCTTCTGCCTCAGTTTCCCTTGTGCTGGGATTACAGGCATGTTGAACTGAAAATACTTTTATATAATAGTAATAATAATAATAATAAAAATATCAACTCTTCCCAAATAAAATCATAGACTCACTGTCATTCCAAACAAAACTAGACTTTCCTCTGATAGAAACTGGTAAGCTATTAGACATATGAAATACAAAATGATCCATATGGAAATGTCAGAGGACATACTACCTGACTCAAAGCCTACTGTTACTATAGGCCAACACAGCATGATATCGGCATAAAAGATAAACGGTGCAGAATAGAGATGAGAAACAGACAGTCAACTCATTTTTAACTAAGGTTGAAAATAATTTGTTGAAGAAAGAAGTCTCCAATAAAAGGATGGCAAAATAAATGGAAACCTAATTGTAAAAAATATAAACTTCAATCCATACATGATTATATTAGATTCCTAACTTAATTCAGAGATGACTATCGGCTTCGTAAGCAACACTGCAGATTATAAAACTACTAGAAAATTTAAAAGTTACATATGAAATACAAAATGATTATTTTGTATTTCCTGTAACTCTTAGCTCAACAAAGATGTACCTGCAATACAAAAAAATGCCATCTATAACAGGTGTTAAATATATTTTATCAAAATTAAGAACTTCTGTACTTTGAAAATTAAATGCAAAATCATATATTTGATGAACAAGCTATAGAGAGATTATGAAACTTGAAAGGGTTCAAAGGATAACCTGACTTTAAAAATGCACTAGAGACACGAAGGAAACTCTTCATCAAAGAGAAGCACATGAAAAGATAACCAGTGTGAAGCCATCAAGTCATTAGGAAAGCGAAGGATTGAAAGTAGCATTACACGCTCTACTAGATTAGTTGTTTCTTAAGATGAAATACCCTTATGACTCACATCACAGCCACTATTTCTGAGATTAATTCATGTTGATTCATGTAATTCTAGCTGATTCATTTAAACTGTGTTTCTAGTGTGTGAACAACGCCATTATTTTTTATTTCTCTTTTTCACTGATAATTTTTTTAAAAGTGACAAATTATTCTTCAAAGTAACTATAGCAAATTTGTCCC